ACTAGTAAGGCACTTGTTACTACTAGCGTGGCACCTGTTACTACTAGCGTGGCACTTGTTCCTAGTAGCGATGCCCTTTGTTATTAGTAGCGTCCCTTGTTACTACTAGTAAGGCACTTGTTACTACTAGCGTGGCACTTGTTCCTAGTAGCGTCCTTGTTCCTAGTAGCGATGCCCTTTGTTATTAGTAGCGTCCCTTGTTACTACTAGTAAGGCACCTGTTACTACTAGCGTGGCACCTGTTACTACTAGCGTGGCACTTGTTCCTAGTAGCGATCGAACACACTGATGTCACATGACCTATCTTAGCCCTGGAGGCCCTAGCCGCTTAGCGCCGCTTCTTTGTTTCCTCGTTTGCACAGCTCTTGGGCCGTTGAGGTGCACTTGTCACATAGAAAGCAACAAGTTCATAGAAAGCTCCCCCTGCCTCCATCTGCAGAATAGTAAGTGAACACCTGGACATCGGCGCAAGTTGCACTTCCAGTCGCTCTAATTTCAAGGCCAAGTGGCAGAGCAAGAAAGCCGCGCAGCCTAGGCCAAGGGCAAGTGCCTTTTGAGTAGTAACAAGAAGCTACTAGGGGCTCCTGGCATCGCTACTAGGAGCAAGGACGCTACTACGGGCTCCTGGCCTTACTAGGAGCAAGAAGCTACTAGTAACAAGAAGGTTTGGATACTAGTAACGAGGCACCTTCCAAGCAGCGTCACGGGCAACTTTCACATATGTTGCCTATGCCCTCATAACAAAGTTACTAGTAGCGATGCAGTTGTTCCTACTAGTAAGGCACTTGTTACTAATAGCTTCTTGTTACTACTAGTAAGGCACTTGTTGCTACTAGCTACTAGGGACAAGTGCAAAGTTTGGAAAGTTGCTCTTTTGGATTCGGACAACTTTGCAACCCCACGGACCTTCGACTCCCCCAACGGAAGAAATCTGGGAAAGAAATAAACATGCCGCGAGGACAACAAACACAAGAGCTGCAAAGCTCATTTGGGTGCAAAATAATGGAACATACATATGGGAGCAAACCTCATGTGCCTGCCATGACATCTGCACTTGAAGGTTCACCACGCAATACCTTGTGTCTCCTACGGTCCTTCAAGCGTCGTTTGCTCCTAGTAGTAAGGCCAGGAGCCCCTAGTAGCGTCCAAGCTCCTAGTAGCGAAGGTCTAATATAGTTTGCTATATTGCCTTCTAGGTTTACAATTGGCTTTGAGGAGCTGCCACCAAATCTGATCAGAAGTGCCGCCAAAGAATCTGGACTTCGTTCACAAAGCGGTGCCTATCCACATCTATCAACATCTGCACTTTTAGGCTCACCAAGTCCTGCGCCTGCCGCGAAATCTACACTTCACGATCCACATCACGTATCCTTACCAATCAAGTTTCGCAACACACCCAGCTCCTCAAACCACTTTGAGATACCAACTCCGACTATCGCAAGAAAGTAGGAGCAAGGACGCTAGGGGCTCCTGGCCTTACTAGTGGCAAGAAGTTACTAGGAGCAAAGGGCATCACTACTAGGAGCAAGGACGCTACTAGG